ACTTGGATCCGACGCAGGAATGCTGGGCCAATCAGGGAGTAGCAGAGGAAAGGGCAAAGTGGCGTGCAAGGGAAGGTCGACAGTATTAAATGAGGGCAAGGCCACATCGGCCCTCATACGCTTGTAGGGTGGCAGAGTGCAGGTAGGCCGCAAGGCGCTGGGATAGTGGATATCCTCCTGATGAGACCTAAGCGCACCCGGTTTGAAACGTAGAGGAACACATGCGCGTTTTTCGAGCATGATTACACGCTGGGAAGTTTTTTGCAAGATGCTCGTCTTCTTTCTTCTTCTATATTCGTCTCTCAATTTCGCCTCACACTACCTACCTACCTCCCACTACTCATAATTGTAGGTATACGGGGAAGAACCCCGTAGCAGCCAGAACCGTGTTCACGAGAGAACATGGGCGTAGATAAACCCAGGCGTTCATTTGGAAAACGAAGAAACAGGAAAAACAAGGGCTCATTATTACGAATCACGTTGACGTCAGCCTACCTTCTTCCCCCTAATACAACGTACGGTCATTATAGCTGAGCTGTAATCTAGACTGAAAGATGCCTCAAATACAGCTATAATGACCGTACGTTGTGTGCGCGGGAAGAAGGTAGTTTTCCTTCGATCTTCCGTACGTGAGCATATCACGTGCACGTAAGAAGTGCATCATGAAGCTCGCTCGGCATTTCTTGCGCTATCGAGTCCTCCTACTCCTCACCTACGGCTTCTAGACTTTTCAAGCAAAATCACAAATTATCGTCCTTTTCTACAAGCAATCGTCAGCACCAATCACAAATTATCATCCTTTTCTATACGGCTATGATTTTCTTCTCTTCCCTATCCTCTTCGTCTACGACGTACCTCCCTGTCGGAATCAACTCCGAATCCAGATCATTCAATCAAAATAGCCGTTAATCATCATCATGAGCCGTACGTCATCCTATCAATTTATCGTCAATGAATACCTACCAATCGTTCAACTGACGACCAACCAATCAGTCATCATCCATCGTCCATCAATTAACCAGCGATGATGAATCCCAAGTCCGTCGCCCCAATCTCTTGATCTCCCACTCCTCTGCTTGGCTGCTCCAACAACAGCCGCAAGCTATGGCGCGCAGTGAGTGCTTCATCTTTTCCCCATAGACGACGTGCAAGACGGCTTACGGCGGGGGCAAACAACTACATGTAAGACGAGTCGGGGGCAAAATAAATGGGGGCAAAAAATAAAATGGGCGCAAAATATAAAATGATAAGATAAGTTGGATAACCTACCAACACCAGAACAGAAAACTAACTTGCGCTCGGACGAGCATTAATAAGAGGAAACGATCGCACATTCCACCAACCATGGAAGACTTCGGCCTTCATCATAACTTTTCAACACCTATATCGAGTTTATCGAGCAAACAATCACACACACACACACAATCGAGAGACAGGCATCAAGTTCGTTGTTTTTCTTTTGATTTCAGAAATTTCGACTTCACCCTTTCTCGCACACGAGTTCATCGAGCAAACAATCACACACAAAAAAAAAACAAAAAAAAAAACTGCGGAGTCAGGGGAGCTCGGTCCTGACGATCTCTCGGACAAATGAGTTTAGGGCATACTCACCGTAGAATTTTCGAGGATGAATCTGGCCGCAAATATTGTCAGATTGTCAGATTCAATCAAAACAGTTCCTAGTGAGCATTCACTCTTAAGAATGCACTTCGATCAAACGATCTCTCCGGCAAATGGATCTGGTTGCAATTCACCGAGGTCGTGTCTTCAACGAAGCAGCCGCGCAGTGTTGGGAATGGTGGTTCCTTACACAAGTTTTTCAACTGTTTCCCTCCCTCCGAAAAACGAGCGTACACGGGCAGAACTGCCGGGGCGCCTGCAGCAAACACCCGCCGCGCCTGCAGCAAACACCCGCCGCGCCTGCAACAAACGTTCTCTCTCTCTCTCTCTCTCTCTCTCTCTCTCTCTCTCTCTCTCTCTCTCACTCTCTCGAAATACGAGGGCGAGCGTAACAGATAAAAATAATTAGGCAAGCAGCTGCCCCAAAAAACAGTCTCATTGACATGAATGAGAGGGAGGTGAGGGGAGGGATTAAAGGGAAAGAAAGAGAGAGAGAGGGGGAGAGAGAGAGAGAGAGAGAACGGTCGGCAAACAGACGCATAGCACGTCCTTACAGACTCGCAGAGCGTAAATTATTGATGCAAAGTATTGATGATAACAGGGGCACCAAGAATACGTTGGAAAGAACGCCAAAAAGAGAGAGAAACGAGATTACCGCCTCAGAGACTCCAAACAACTCTGCCGTGCGCTGCCTTTTCAACCAGCTGCCAAAACTGTCTCTGACATGAACTAGAGAGACTGGAGGGGAGGGAGTAGCCGAAAAAGTGAGAGAGAGAGAGAGAGAAAGAGGGAGAGAGAGAGAGGGAGAGAGAGGGAGAGAGAGGGAAAGAAAAATGGCGGACGACAAAGAAACAGACGCATAGCACGTCCGCAGAGGCTCACAGAGCGCAAATTTTGAATGACAACCAGCAAATTCTTCCGTTTTGGAAGGGCTTCAGAAAGCAGGGAAGCGCATCGAAAACGGTCGAGAGAAACGTTAAAGAAAAGAAGGAGAAAAAAAAAAAGAGGAGAGATCACCACCGTCATAGAAATTCTAAACTCTGCCGAGCGTTGCCTTTTCCCAGTATTCGCCTTCGCAAAAGGATTCGATGAAATGCGCTCTTCTAGTCGCAAAACAGACAACATGAAACAGGCTGTTCCGTTAAGCAATCGAAACAATGCGCACACCATCCATCAAAATACAGACAGCTCTTCAGGGAAACAAAGCATGTCGAAGTCCGCCTACCACTTCAACAACATCACCATACTATCACAATCAAACAGGCTGTTCCGTTAAGCAATCGAAACAATGCGCACACCATCCACCAAAATACAGACAGCTCTTCAGGGAAACAAAGCATGTCGAAGTCCGCCCACCACTTCAACAACATCACCATACTACCCGGTTCTCTAGGGGTTAATTTGCCTACTAAAACATCTTCACAATCAAACAGGCTGTTCCGTTAAGCAATCGAACCAATGAGCACACCATCCACCGAAATACAAACAGCTCTACAGGGAAACGAAGCATGTCGAAGTCCGCCCACCACTTCAACAACATCACCATCCTATCACAATCCAATCATCGAAATACAGATAGATCCTTACAAAGCATGTCCAAGTCCGCCAGCCACTTCAACAACATCACCATACTATCACAATCCAATCATCATCACATTCATCGTCACCGTAAGCACCAATCAATGCACTCGCGTTCGCACTTCAAGTCTAGACATACAAACTCTTCAAATTTTTGAGAAGCGGAGAGCTCTAAGAACATTTCTTTCTGGCCCCCTAACGAACCAACAACATTATCGTTATCAACAAAACTATCATCCTCCATCCGCACGTTCGTCAAAGACATTATATCATACATACTAATTGCATTAAGCCACTCGCCTCATGACAATCATCACCACAATAACCCCTGTAAGACCTACTCCCACTCCAGTACGACCATCATCACCATTACCCAACCCTCCCCACCCTCCCCCGAACTAATCACCACTCGCATCATCATCATCCTCGTCGTCGTCGACGTCATTCATCCACCGGCAGTCCCATGCTAATAACACCATCACAAGCATGCATCACCATTACCCATCACCCACCCATCCCCGCGCAACCCTCCCCATCCTACCCCGGACTAATCACCATGATTCACCCTGACAGCCACCCCCCACCCCCAAATAATTAACATTAAACCACAAGAACAGTAAATACACGATTACCACTCCTACCCCGGAATAATCACCATGATTCACCCTAACAGCCACAACTCACCCCCCTCCCCCCACTAATTCACATTATTAAACCACAAGAACAATAAATACACGACTACCACTCGCATCATCATCATCATCATCGTCGTCGTCATTCACCGGCAGTCCCATGCTAATAACACCAGCACAAGCATTCACAAATATCATCCCCATAATAATTACCACCCAAAACAACCCTCTTCGTCATGATTACCAGCACTCCCATTGTTCTTATCGTCTCTACCCCACCCGCCACAGCACTTTCCTTCCCACACTCGTGCCACACTCATCACTGTCGAGCCGCCCCGGCATCGCCTCCCTTGTTGTCTTCACCACTACCACAAATCATCATCTTCGTCATCTTCATCATCAACCATCACCGCTATGGTTATCAATGCCATCGAATTCATAACAGCATACATGTTACGATACACACACAACAATATATTGTCACATTGTGAATCAGAGCGGAAAAAAGGGGAAAGAAAAAAGGAAAAGGAAAAAAGGGGGAGGGGGAAGAGGTAAGGAAAGCTCCACCTGTTCATAACCTCTCACGTACAAGGCCAGCCACGTGGATGACAGGTTGAGCGCTGGCTGCCCCCATCCCCGTGTGTCACAAGGACCCACTTGCACGCAGCCAAAAGGCAAAGAGGTAAAGAAGGGGAGGAGGAGACCAAACCTGACAGGGAAAGAAAGATAGGGAAAGAAAGATAATCCAATTATCACAAAGCAAATAACACATCCCACAGATCAACGTATCTTTTTTCTTTTTTTCTTTTTTTCTCTCATATGTATATACATGTACATCTTATATATGCATATATATCCATTCCTAAAAACAGCACAGTTTGTCAAGATGCATATGTACCCATTCAAATTAATCAGGACCGTTCTTCCCTCGTCGTTGATACGCTATTCCAAAACATAGCACGGTTCGCAGAGATGCATAAATAGCCGTTCAAATTACACAGGACCGTTCTACCCTCATCCATGATACGTTAATCATCCCTTCTTTTTCATTGGCGGTCGAAAAACGGATGTGATAAAAAACTTCGTCACCAATTTTCTAGCACCTCGTTACAAGCAACAGCAGAGTTCCAAAGCCAAGGTACCTAGCTTTCGCCGGCTGTCTGCACATCCTAAATTTCGACCAATGAGAACTGAAACCATTCACCGAAATCTTCACTTACTGCATCTGTCCTTGTGCTGCCATTGCATTTTGTCAAATTTTAAAACAACTCAAGCACCATCGTCCATAATTAACCATCACTTATACACGGTACAGCACCATGTTTAGCGCCATCATTACTGGACACTCAAATACATTACTACACACCTTCAAAGACACCGTGCATTGTCATTACAGACCGCAATCGTGATTGAGAGGACCGTCGACGACGCGCCTTCCTGTTGACTGTTCGGAGTCATTAACAAATATGTCCTAGATGTTGTCCCAATATCATCATCATCATCATCATCATCATCATCGTAACCGTCATCTTCATCATTGTCATGTCAAAGACATTTCCGAGATGTTCCAATACCATCATCATCTCATCATCGTCATCATCATCGTCATCATCATAACCGTTATCGTCATCACCACCATGTCAAAGACATTTTCCAAAGCAATTCATCAACCGTCGACATTCACAATCGAACAATCGCTCAATCTTAATCATTCAGCCACGTGTCGTCATCATTGATGGCCACCACGTGTCGTCATCATTGATGGCCGCCACGTGTCGTCATCAATGACGGTCATTGTTCGTTCGTTCCATTCCTGGAATCAGATAGAGGAGATTGGTTGTATAGTAGTACGTATAACCACCACTCATTCTTTATTACATTTTAACAATAAAAAATTGGCGAGAAAGAACACAAACTCTAAGGAGAAAACACTCTAGGGTTGTTCCCTGGGCGCCCTGAACAGGAACAAATGAGCGTTGGCAGAAAAGAACACGCGGGACTGCTATCAGCAGACCCGCGGTTCAACCCGCGTCATCACCTCCATAACCATTTTAGGTTAAGCCAAGGGAGAACACGCACGTGAAACAACTCAACTCTCAAAATCCTTCCCTCTAATTCCATTGCCATCCCCGCTGCTTCGTTCGGCATCTCTACTACTACTACTACTACTACTACCACTACCACTACAACATCATCACCTCGATCCAGCAGCACGATTTACTACCCTAAACTGGCGCGCATTCCTTCCCTCCTAATCCCTGGCAAACATCGACAACGAACCGGGAAACCAATTTCCTGCAGGAACAACACACGGAGCATCGACATTCCAGATGGCCAACTCTTCCACTCACTCATAAACCACTCGCTCAAAAGACCAAACCAAGGTAGCCAACCCTTCCACTCACTCATAAACCACTCGGTCAAAAGAACGAACCAAGGTACAAACTAAGGCAGGAACAACACCGCCCACCAGCTCAAGAAGGAAATGTCAATCAACCAAATTTTCAACCGTCGTCGTCACACTGCCATTTCGCCGCCGGCAAGGCCAACATCATCGGCATCGGCTTTTTACTTCTCGTTCCCCACCGCCATTAAAAAACGAGTGAACCCCACCCCAGTCCCTTGCACTCCTCCCTTCTTACGAGTGAACCACAGCCCCTCGCACTCCTCCCTTCTCCCCTCACCGGCCTCCACGTAGCTGCTTGCTACCGAGAGAAGCACAACATCCAAAACATCCCAACCCCAAAAGAGCCCGACTACCCATCTAATACTTCGTCGAGGCCCACGGTCTCCGTACCACCACCATGGGCCTTCCCTTCCCTTCCCCTCCGGTCCCTCTTCTTCAGCATCGGTGCCTCGACTCGAGCACATCATCATACAGTAAGCGGACAACATACCTTCCTCTCCCCCCTCCTCCTCCCTCTCCTGCTCTCTTCCTCTCTCGTGCTGTTCGATCGCTTCTTGCAAACTGCGGAGAATCCGTCTCGCAAGGAGCCAGAGACACGACAACCAGAGAGAGAGAGAGAGAATACACGAGCATAACATCACCACGAACGCGGCAAAGAGAAGTAACAAGAGGAGAGAGAGAGGGTAATAACGGCGAACGAGATGCAGAGTGAGGAGGAGGCAGACCTGAGCATGAGCATGAGCATGAGCGTTCTTCATCGGAATTCGTCCTCGAGGTTCCGGAAGCTGGTGGTCATGTCGTCGAACAACTTCTTGTACTTCTCTACCAGCACCGCCTCGCCCTCCGCAGGGTCTTCGAATTTCTGCGTGACCAAACGATAGATGATATCGTTGAGGCGCTGCCTGATGATGTTGTAGGAAACCTTCTGCCCGTCGGAGCCCGCCGCGCGCTCTACCGCTTGAATCGCCAGAGTATGGAACTGGCAAATGTTGCGCAGCATCCACACCGACTTATAGAAGGGGCAGAACTTGTCGTACGGAGTGAAAGCGTTCTGCGCGAGGAAGTCTTCGCGGAGGAGTTTCGCCGTCTCGAGCGTGATCTTGTCCGTCTCCGCCAGCGCGTCCTTACCGACCAGCTGAACGATTTCCATCAGGTCGTCCTCGCGCTGAAGCACCTCGCGAGCCTTCGTACGAATGGCGATGAAGTCGGCGTCGAAGTTCTCGTAAAATGGCTCCAGGGCCTTGGAGTACTTGGAGTAGGAGATGAGCCAGTTGACGGAGGGAAAATGCTTGCGCTGGGCGAGCTTCTTGTCCAGACCCCAGAAGACTTGCACGATGCTGAGGGTGGCGGCAGTGACTGGGTCTGAGAAATCTCCACCGGGAGGGGAGACGGCACCGACAATGGTGACACTGCCCGTACGCGAGGGACTGCCCAGACACTTCACCTTGCCCGCGCGCTCGTAGAAAGACGCAAGCCTGGCCGCGAGGTACGCCGGATAACCACTATCTGCGGGCATTTCTGCCAAGCGACCGGAAATTTCTCGAAGGGCTTCGGCCCAACGAGACGTGGAATCCGCCATCATACTGATGTTGTAGCCCATGTCGCGGAAGTACTCGGCGAGAGTGATACCCGTGTAGATGGAAGCCTCACGAGCAGCCACTGGCATGTTGGAGGTATTGGCAACGAGGGTGGTTCGCTTCATAACGGACTCCTCGCGGCCGTCCGGAAGTGTCATCGTCAGCTTGGGGAAATCCATCAGCACTTCAGCCATCTCGTTCCCTCTCTCTCCGCATCCCACGTACATGACGCCATCGCTGTTCGAGTATTTGGACAACGCCTGGCTAATAACAGTCTTCCCACAACCGAACGCACCTGGAATGGAGCAGGTGCCACCCAGAACGGACGGGAAGAGAGCATCGAGAATTCGTTGTCCCGTGAGCAAAGGCGTGTCAGCGATCAGCTTCTGAGCGGAAGGACGTGGCGTTCGCACGGGCCACATCTGAAGCATCGTGTACTCCTTCTTTACGCCCTGGAACTCCAGCTCGATGACAGGCTCCTGCAGCGTGTACTGCCCAGGGTCGGCGATATACGTCACTTTGCCCATCGCCCCGGGAGGAAGCATGATCCTATGCTCGAGCAGACTGTTTTCGTACACGGATCCATAGATGTCGCCGCCGGTGACCGAGTCTCCCATGGCGCAATTCACCGGGCGAAACTCCCAAGCGTGAGTCTTGTCCAGAGCTGGCACATCCACTCCGCGAGGAATATACACCGTCCCCGACTGCTTGGCGATGGCTTTCAGAGGGCGCTGAATTCCATCAAAAATGTTGCCAAGAATTCCCGGACCTAGTTCCACAGACAACGGCTTGCGAGTTCGCAAGACCGGGTCGCGGACGGTCAAACCCGCCGTCTCCTCGTACACCTGGATCGTCGCCGAGTCCCCCTCCAGACGAATGATTTCGCCAATCAATCGATCGGAGCCGACACGGACAAGCTCGTACATGGCCGCGCCGCCCATGTTGTCGGCCACGACGACGGGCCCAGAGACCTTCCGGATGTATCCATAGTCGCTCTCCTTCTCCGAGTTGTCGAACGAAGACAGATCGTGGGCCGAAACAGCCGGCATTGTCGCCGAAATCCGCCGCTGCTGGGCACAAGCTACCACCTTCCCTGGCTTTGGCCTTGTGTCTCCTCTCCCTCAGTCTTCGCCCCCCTTTCTCCTCCTCCGCTTTCGCTTCCCACAACGTGTGCAATCAACCTCTCCCTCAGGACGAGTCGGGGGCTCCCACTAAGAGAGGGAGACAGAGAGAGGAGCACGAGATCTGAACGACAAATGCGAGGGGGACGGAGGAATAGAAAAGGAAGAGGGGTGCTCGACCTAGAGAGCAGGCTCGAATGAGCGAGAGTGAGTGATTGCGCATACCCGGCTTCAGGGTGGAAACCGGAAGCGACGGGCCTGGCAAAGTGCGATAGGCGTCGGGGAAAGCAGGGGACTGTTCAAGCCCCTCGAAGCACGACGAGCGTTCCACACGTACGCGAACGCGCCCGGCTTGATTGGCCCTGCAGAAGGTGCAGAGGCACGGTGAAGAACAGAGCGAGATCAGGGGGGGTGTTTAGTCTGTTGTGTGAACAGGCAGATGGCCTACGGAGCCAGGGCTACGACACGACAAAAGGAGGCAAATAGCTGGGCAGGCCCTCAGGCACGGACCGTCGAGACAGAACAGAAACAGACAGAATACGAGTGGCCAAGGCCCCGAGGGGAGGACGAGGTCCTTTCCTCAATCAATCAACGGAGTAGATGGGACCACCATTTCTGCCCCTCGCAGTACATTATTGGTGCATGGACAATCACGCGACCACCAGCCCAGTTTCTCCCAATAGGCGAGAAGTTGATTTCGTTTGAAATGAGGTTACCCGTAGTTTTCCGCCTATTATACCAGCTTAGGTTTCGCTTATTCCAACGTGAAACTGGCGGATCACTTCCGGCGGTACGCACAACACCAGTCCGCACACCTCGTTTTCTGCGCCAGTCAGAACTTCTTGGGTGTGACCTCATGCTCAATGTCGTACAAGGACAGGCACCAAGGAGAAGTCTAGCATCGGTGGATGATAACCATAGATGTATCGGACGGCGCAAATCCGAAGTCCAAACATTCATGCAGTTTAACAACCGGATTTGACCCAGGACCATCGTATGATAGACGTATCTAACAGCATCAATCAATGAAAACGAAAACGAAGCCGCTGTTCATCAAAACCAGAAAAAAAGAACCCCGTTTCGTTTCGTTGGTGTGATTTGGGCCGTCCAATCTTGACGATCCCGTCCTTGGTTTCGGTGGAACGTACGGCAAATGGTGATATGCCAGTTCATGAAAGCCGAATACGCCAGGCCCGTTTCCTGGCTTGTAAAATGAAGCCAATAGTCAGTCACCTCCAGAGAGGAGACTAGTCAATAATGTGAGGCCAATCGTCAGTAAACCAGCCATTTGGACCAGCTGGAATAGCTTTGCTGCCTCCATGGGCAGGGCTTCACACGGTACAGCCCCCAATTTTTGTAGTGCACTTGCACTATCCACTTCGGGGGGCAATTCTTCACTAGTTTCCCAGCTATTTGCAGCCCTCGGGCTGTGGTCTGGCAGGGTGGCAGATCTGAATCAAGGTTGCCCGAATTTTCACAGCGGCCAACCGCCCAGAAAGGGGCTTGAGGAGGGGCTTCGGGTGTGCACGGACCTGTGCTTCGGATCAGCTTTTCACTAATTGTTGAGTACACCAGCTTTGGCTTACTCTATTTTTTTTGGTGGCTGATAACTGGGGCCAAGTGTTGGTGGTTTAACCAAGTTATATTCTTCTGTCAAATTCACGTCTTTTCTACCTACCTACCACTAGTCCTACATCTATATACAGGACCCCTGCAAGCATAGCTACCTCTTACAATCAAGAGGATACATGTTGTCGCCCGCCCCAATCTGCAGTGATCAGCGAGTAGGGCGGGGCCGCCATTGAGGTGGACCAGCTAATGCAAATATCGAGCATTTTGCCAGTAGTTGCGCCTCTCATCTACTTCCCCTTCCCCCATCCAGTAACACCAGTGTCTAAGGCCAACACTCTCTCACCCACCATAAACAACATCGCCCACCCCCTCACACACGCACACCAGCGATGGCTCAAGACCCTACCGATACCGCCAAGAGGAGCTAGCGAACCTTATTTGGTAGGCACCTAGTGTGGCCTGAGCAATCGGTGGCGATCAAAATTATGAGCTCTTGAATTACCCTTGCATGCATAACTGAAATGTTAATCCTTGTGAGCCCAACCAATTTAATCACATATAAAATATGACCAAATGACCTTATTGTGATTATAGTTTTTTCTAATCAGATTAAGATAAAATACTACATCCATGCACTGTCGACAAAAGACCAAATTTCAAATCGTCAGGGGTTCCAATGAACAAAATAACTTTGCATTATTATGGTTGATCAATTCGATGATAACATCGACAATCAAAACCAACAGTTCACACGAGACATAAGTTGACGAAGCTATATTTCAATCCTTACGAGCTTGCGACTAAGCCTCTTCACAGTGGCATGCCACATTTGCAACCGGCTCAAGCCTTAAGCCAAGTGCTCTTACGACATGTACCGGTAAGAGCATTATGTAAGTTTATGTGAACGAGTGGTTAAGGACTGTGAAAAACTCTGTAAAAAAAAATAAAAGAACAAAGACTGAGTGTTAATCAGTTCGATAATTTTTTTTAAATAAATTAAATAAAAATGTATGACAAATAAATATTAATGATAAAAAATATATATTTTTTATGCCTTCCTACTGCTACTTATATGCCCAAATTGTTTTGGTTAGGTGGGTAAAGCTTTGAATCAAAATGTCATTTCATAAAACTGGTGCGAGGGACGATGAGGGTATAACTGTGTAGTCCTGACTACAGTATTTGGATACAATTCTTTACATATAATATATTTTAAGACCTGACTTACTAAAATCAAATGAAAAGGTTGGTGACTAACCTTAAAATATTGAATTTGTAACCCAATTCTTAGTCGAAAAATATTGATGCAAATCGTTATCATGACAAAAACGCTGCCAATACTAGTTGCTTAAGTAGAGAACTAGTGTCACGAACATCGATCCTCACCTCTATACCCACAGTTCAATGTTTTTTTCACTGATGTCATACAATAGTATAAAGTTTATACTCGGTAAGAGGATAAGCAAACAATTGAACAAAGAAACAAAATTTAATTTCATCTCATACTCAACTTAATCTCCTACAAATTTCAAGGAGTTAACTTCTCAACATGAGACAAATATTAATTGTGTCCACTAAACAATCAAACCAAAGTCGTACGTTCATCTAGTCGGCATTAAATATTTCATATGCAATTCTTTTTTAACTTATATATACGTTTGTGACGAACAAGCATAAGGTTTTAGGGCTACATGAGACATTTATGAATCGCTTAAAGTTTTCTGCAAACGTATATTAGTCACGAAATTGTCGTCAAACCTCCGTGGTGGGCTATCATTTAAGCAAAGTCGAAATGGTAGATAACAACCTTGAGCTCCCTGTTCGAAAGTTATCTTACGTTGTTCGGTAAGGGTTTTGATTCCGACTGTGGATATAATTGTTTAATACTAAATATATATAGAAGGGAAGTGGACCGTTATTTTTATGTTAGATCAGACACCTAAGTTAGCAAGGTAGCTCTAAGAGCAACCTAAGTTTTTCGAATATAGCATAAGATTCTTTTGTTCGGCCAGTTATACTAAAACGTCAATTTTTATTTCATAGCCGTGTTTTTGCATGCTTTAGTGGGTATCATATTTAACATATAATATGTTTTAGGCTTACGATCATATGCAGGTGATGGACGATTTTATAAATGCGAAATTAACAAACAAAATTTTATAAATCTTGCACATTGTAAACATTATCAGAGAATTTGTTTTACACCTTGTATACGAAATACATGCAAACATAATTCAGACGCTAACGGAGTCAACACATTAATCTTACTCGTTATATCTTTAACGACTATAAACCTCCTTCAACCAATCACTCTTTTATTCATTGTTTCTTTGTCATATCCTCCTAAGTTATTCAAAACCAACTATTAAAGAACCTTTTAAACTTTGTCCAAGAAGATTCACTTTTTTTTTGCTTACAAGCTCATCTACAGAATGTGGGTATCAAAATGAATGAAAGTTTGAAGACGAACTTAAGATAATTTTTAAACATTTATTATAATTTAAATGATTTGCAAAAAAATAATATAATAGTTTTGAAAGTATACAATCTTCATAAATATAAAGCGTTGATCCATTAATACACAAAAAGAGAAAAAAAAAGTCTTTAAAAGGAAGACGACGGGTCGGACGGGGCAGAAAAGCAAACTCGGACCCCACACGAGCGGGCTCCGCGAGTCTTTCCCAAGTATTGCGACATATTTTTTTGACCTTCCACGGTGACGAACGCTCATGTGGACCACCGTATGGCCTGGCCTCCTGAAGTGGGTGACACGGCATCTGCGGTGGACTTGGGTAGAGCAGAACTTGTCCTACTAGCACCCTGTCTCACTGGACTACTCGGCCGACCCTCAAGTCGTTGTTCGGTCGGTCCCGTACAAATTTTCGAAAACGGGGCGCAGATGGTTGGGTCACCTGCCTCAATGGAAACACATGCGTGGATGTCGTGATGATGCGTTGCTGGTGACATGAGGTACTCTGGACAAGGCGTTGCTTCCACCATAGACTTTGTGCCGCAAAAGACGAAGGTAGACGTGGACAACTTTCTGAGGTGGGAGTGGGATGCAAAGGCACAGACATACACACAGCCATGTCGTTCGCACTTGTGGAGATGTCACTGACCGAAGTGGTGTTGATGTGCGTGGCTACTGTGCGATGGCTAAGGATGAGGCAATACGTGACATTCATGCTTGCGCTTCTTGTCCTCCACGTGGCAACGAACCTTGTTGGTGTGTACACAATATCTGCAACAACGTTCATTTTGGCGGTAGAGGAGGCACGCAGGCCAGGCCACGGGAGAGGTCGACATTTGAGAATCCACTGTCAGTGTCGTTTTCGGGTGCACCCGCGTGTTGGGGGGACATGGGAGGAGCTACTCGTGGAGGGTGTGGAGCACGACGAGAAGTTTCGGTCATACATGAGGCTCACGAAACTGGCGTTCATCCTCGTTTTGGCCCGCATGGCTCCGCACATCCAAATACAAGTCACCCCATGGCATGCGCCATTGACAACGAACTTAAAGTTCGCATTCGCTCTTTATAGATGAGTGACTGATGTATATTACCATCAGTGCGGAAACGACTTTGGCATTGGTCTTCACATCGTTGTCCGATGCACTGATGATGTTTCCTAAGCCCTCATGAGCGAGTACGGGGACAAAGTGCAGTGGTTCAACGGGGCATGTCTGCAAACAATGCTTGACTACTTCGAGGTGAGAGGATTCCCCGACTGTATCGAGCTTGTTGATTTTACCCATATCTACATGAACAAGCCACGTGGAGGGGAGGCGGAGTCGTACTACGATAAAACAATGCAATACCCAATCGTCGCTCAAGTCGTGTGCAATGAAAATCTCGGAATTCTCGATGTGTGTGGGGGGGCCCCTGGCTCCGTGCAGGACTCGCGCGTTTGGCGACTTTCAGACGCTGGTAATCGTGTGGAGGAGGGGAGGGAGCTGTTCGGCAGACGAACGAACGTGCTATGTGATGGGACAATGATCAGGAGGTACGTCTTAGGTAACGCCGAATTTCTTTTGTTGCTATGGTTGATAACCCCTTTCGGGGGCAATGCACGCAATGCAGCGGAATCTGCATTCGACACGAAGTTGTCGGCTCTGCGTGCAAGCATCGAAAGATGCTTCGGGAGGTTAAAAGGCATGTGGCGTTGTTTCGGGTGGTGACGCATCCCTAACATGAAAAACATCTGCAAACGGTTCCTGACCTGTTGCATACTTCACAATCTCATTATTGACGAGATTTTTCATATTAACGAGGATGTGCTTCTTCACGAGTCAGGGGAGGGGAAACATGTGCGGGACCACTGACCCCAAAAGAAGCAGTGGGAGGCAATGACCGCGACGAAGAAGACGAAGGGGGGCACAATCCCAACCTCTCTCATCGCCAGCGTTTCAAAGAGGGCGAGGACATTCGCTTTGCTTCAATCCGCTGTGTGTCGCACGTCGACCGTGTTTTCCGCGGGCGGGCCAATGGCCTCACGCGATAGATATATGTGTATGCAAATAGATATCACTGCAAATCAGGTGCTGATATGTATAGATATGTGTATGGAGAGAGAGACCCCATTCCATGTTGAAGTTCAAATTGTATCGGCAATTGTGTCCAATGGTTGTTCAAAAAAAATAACATTATTGTCCATGCGTTTTGCTTTTCCATGTTCGGGTCACTGTCTGCTTTTTTCTTTCTGTTGCTGCGTGTTACTGTGTCACACACGCGACATAAAACATTGATGGATGACCCCTTCCCCGCCAATCAATCAATCAACCAATTAATCAATCAGTTAATCCACCCGGTAATCGATGACCCCGTGCACAACCCCTTCAATATCTATGTATGTCAACGGTCCCGCGCTTCTGTCGATCCTCTAAGCTGGATTGGGAATGGTCACGATCCCACTCCACTGTAGGCATTGTCCTCTATTCTCTCCTGTCGAATGTCTTCTCCGCCAGCCAGCCCTCTGATCATCGGCTTGTATACGGCATCTTGCACTCCTTCCTTCCCTCCAAAAACATATATGAGTAGTCCTCTTCCAAAGAAATGATCCACCTATGACACAAGTAATGTCATGCAAAACGTTCCATAACGGCAAAAACGAGGATTCGCAGAGCACGACCCTTTACTGATTCCCAGTTTGCGCCTGTCATATACCAACCCTCGTGATGCGCAATCACCTGCAAGCAGACATGGTGTCCGCCATTCCTCAACGAAGATTTCGACCTCCTCAACGACGAAGTTCCCTTCCACCACTTGCACCTGCCATCGCGCTCGGGACACACGCTGTGAACTGCGAGCGTGTCCCCGACGTCCACCATGCACACCTTTTGCAAGACGGACATGAAACCATCTCCACCATTTGGCATCTCAACTGCCGGGTACGGCGTGCATCACACTGGAGAGAAACAGTCCTTCAAGTGAGCACACAAATTCACCGTATCGCTGCTCATAGCGCCTGGTGTGCACAAACCCAGTTCAGCGTCACCTTCTCATCACCGGTCCGCTGGAATTACGGGGCGAACAACACCTCTCACTGTCTATATAGGTGGTGGCCTGTGGGCGTGAGACTGGGCGCGACAGTGACACGTGGAAACGGTGGTGGAGGAAAACTAAAAATTAAAAAATATATATAAATCAATACAAAACAGAAACAAACCGAATATCGCAATTGTTCGATATCTGGACACGACAGGTCGGTAACCACCAATGATTTACTCGACAATTTCAAAAACATAATGATGATCGAGACAAGTCGTGCACATATGACATTCATTCATTGTGTCGACGAAATACATACCGTCAAGACACACGGTTGTACAATGACGGGGGGGGCGGGGGGGGGGAAGGGGGGATCCACAACAGGGTTCCATTGTTTTTGGTTAATTTTTCGTCACTTTAACCGTCCGCGCGTCGTTAACATTGCATGGTAGACGACAAAAAAACCCAACAACATTCCAGTGTGGTATGAAATGACATGAAAACAAAAGAACACATATCAGGAAAAATAATAAAAATAGAAGAAATACACATACAAATATGAAATAAAAAACATTCCACACAATTTAAAAAATGAGAGTGACATGACGTTCACACATGCATGACCTCTTGTGCGCCACACATCACTTCTCGAATGACAATGACATGACAGCGACACACAAACGATGTAAAATGTTTCACGCGATTTCAAAAATGTAAATGACATGACGAAGTTGACAGTGACATGATTTCAAATTCCACACCGGTTGTTGCGTCAGCAATGGTGAGTCCCCCCCCCCCCCCCCAACTACTACAAGACCGCAACCAAAACAACCACGTCAGACCTTTTTCACAAGCAGACTACGGCGATTGCATCTCCCACTTCCCCCCGCCATCCCACCGGTGGACGAGTATGCATCCCCCGCGACTGTCCGACATAAACGTTCAACAATCTAGGCGATCTCACGGCGGTTGGTATCCGGAGATCTCCTCAGATTTGAGCATGGTCGTCCATGAACGACCGCACCACCAACTGTCCTCCGGCCATGGGAGTGAACTGGAGCTTCATCGGAGAAGATGGAACCATTGACGTTAATATCTTTCACCCCCCCTCCTGGTCCTTGCGAACCTCCTTCTCCATTACGAGATCCCGTGCATGGAGGCGGTCGGCCTCGTCTTGCAGCTCTGCAACAAGGCGCTCGACATTCGTCAGCTTGGACTCGGATGCGGTGACGACCTCCCTTAAGTTCATGTCATCAACATCGTCGCGCATTCGCCTCCGCTCCGCAACCATTGTGTGCACACACTCAAATAAAACCCCTCTCTTTCTTGCGAGCTCGTGCGCGTTCTCTATTATTCAGCAATGCATGAGTGCGAAGTCTCCAACCATATTCGGGACTTTCTCGAGAGGAATTTTCGCAGGGGAAGAAATGGGTTTCATGGCGAAGGGAATCCTGCAAGCACAGAATGACAAACGAAAACCAAAAAAAAAAAAAAAAACTTGCACATTACAACCAAACAACACACTCGCTAACCACCAGGGGAGAAGACATGAAAACGATGGAAGGCGCCATGCCAACGGCGTCAGTGTCGCAGTTGATGTCTCTCACATGTTGGCATCTCGTGGTGGGATCGACCATCTCCACCAGCCGCATTGCAATACTCAAATCACTGTGTTGACGTCATTGCTCATGTGGTTGACTCAGTGTGTTGACGTCATTGCTCATGTGGTCGACTCTCCTCGCTCCTATCCGGTCCACGTTCGCCCCGCCGCCATTGGAATCGTGTGCAGAACGTCAAGCCAAGGACCCCGTCAGCATGGCGAAGTATTGGAGCAAGGCGCTATTGCCACCGACCATCGTCTTGTTCAACCCCTCCAAAGCAGTTAACAAAAGTTCTCGCAAGCATTTTTGCAGTTTGTTTGTTCGAATCCGCCAACGTCATCATGATGTCGGACATGGTTTCGTCTCTCTCCACCTGCAGCCGGGGAGTCCGACCTACTGCGTCGACTTCCTCCTCCGGTATGCTGGTACTTGGACTCCTCCGACAAGCCACTCTCGCTCGCCTACGTGACACAGTTCCCTCGCTCACCCCCCCCCCCCCCCCCTTCAACATTCGATGTAACAGCGCTGGTGGCACCTCCAAGAACATCAACAGAGCTCCCCACTTGGTCGCAAGGCCTGAAAGACTTCCCCAACTTCCACTGAATCGCATCCCAACATTGCCGCTCATAATGCAGGGGCAACCCGGCCTGCTTTCTCTCATGTTTCTCCATGTTCCAGTAGATCCGCTCGCCCAACCGGTTATGGAAGTCCCTGATCTTCTTCGCCTGGTCCACAAGAAAGTAAGACTTTCTCTTGCACTCCCCTACACGCCTTTTCGCCAAGCCTTGTTGCACCATCTTCGACACCACCCACTCATATCTCTTTCTTTCCCTTCATCTGCTGCCTTCTCCGTCTGTTGACGTGCATAGCATCCTCTTCCGCGAGGCATTGCAGTAGCTCCAACGTTTCATCGAACCTCCAATTGTCGCCCCGACTCTTTCCTTTCTCGGCAGACTCTCCAACCAGACCGGCATTGCTCGCTATTGCCGTTTTCTTACCACCTTCTCATGTCTCCCCCGTACCTGCAGTCGCTATCCCCTGCACGGACTGTCCATCACCATCCGTCGTTGTCTGCGTCCCGGCAATGTCCTCCACAGGACCATTCCACACGTCGTGCGCTCCTGCGTTGGGGGAGGGCCGCCGACAGTCCCCATCTTCCATTGCCAGCATTGAGAAATCAATGCGATCGGGCGATGCGACAGTGCGGGGGGCACTTCCCCCGCCAAAGCCCCCTCTTTGTGTCTCCGCCTCCCCGCGAATGTTGACGTCCATATTCGAACTTTGCATCGTCGCTCTAGCATCGTCCCCCACAACGCCCATATAAACTCTCCCACCTGTAATCGACTGATCGGAGAACCTCGGCCACTGCATACGTGGAACGCCTGGATGCTCATGCAACATCCCCCACCCCATCGACTTCCTTTGTCATAACATTTTTCTATGTATGCATTCACAAAACATACAACAATATTGCAGTCACAAATGCATAACCTACCTCTCCTCACGACTAACTTACACTCCTTCTCCCTCATAAGTATCCCTAAGCGTACAAAACCACAAAAAAATATATCCTCATGACATCTCTCCTTAAATATATATATGCATTAGGATGATTAGGAATGACATATATTATACACAATAGTTTGGGGGTAGAAGGGGGATTGTTAATGGGGCAAGGGAACAGTCCCTTATCCTAACTACATTTTTCTCTACTACAACTTGAATGACAAGTTGTCATAAAAGTCTTTGAAGACTTTCAAGGCGACCATAACAACTCATACACTAAAGACAAAGAAAAAAAACACAATAGTTTGGGGGTAGGCGGGGGATTGTTAATGGGGCAAGGACATAGTTCCTTACCCTAACCACATTTTTATCTACTACAACTTCAATGACAAGGTGTCATAGAAGTCTTTGAAGATTTTCAAGGTGACCATAACAACTCTTACACTAAAGACAAAAAAAAATTAAAAAAAATCATACTAACGTAAAAATTAACGAGGAGTGAAGGGTCTAGGGGAACCAGGGCTTAACCCATTTCTCCTACCACAATAATATCCTCTCATATTATCTCCCCTTGGCAACATGAATGAATGTCAAACCACTTTTCGTCATTCAAGTTCAAATATTATTCGAGGATACTTCACAAGACAAGACATAAAAAAAAACAAAAGATATAACAACCATTTGTATTTCGAGAATTTTTTCAATTCAACTTCACATGACAAACACATAATCATTCAACGGGGAAGAAACACAATAGTGAACATTGAAGTTGGAGGGGAGGTAAGGGTGTTTTTGAAGTGAACAGCCCTCATCCAGTTGTCAAGCGCATCGGTCCCACAGGGGGACCCTCCCGGCCACGTCATGTAGAATTTGTACAGGACTTCTTCGTGGTGGAGCTTTCGCTGCTCCGGCTGAGTGCACCAGCCATACCTCTCACGAACCCCCACGTCAGGATAGGGGGGTGTGAGGTACAACTTACCCCTGTCCAAGGCTGCACCATACCATAACAACTTCTCATGCCATTTTTCTTTCTCAAAGGGATTACACTCAATTGCACTTCATTTTACAGTTGTTAATTTTATTCAAGTATAGTTGTCATTTTCCCCTAATGAAAAATGATAACTATGTATGTGGAATCATTCAACACGGAAAAAATAAATAAAAACATCTTCTCTAACTTGAAATACATATGTGGACTTGATTGTAATTCATTTTATAGCTAGGCTACTAGAGTAACCCGGAACCACTTGTTCGGCCGAGCCAAAAAAAAAAAAAAAAAAAAAAAAAAAAAACATAGGTAAATAAAATTTATTTTTTATTTTTTTAATTTAAAATTTAATAAAAAATTGATGTGACATTAAGACAAATGTTGTTCAATTTATTTTTCTGTATAACATAGTTTTTTTTTTATGGGATCTTCCCTGATATATGCACGGTCGGGCTGCCAAGGAAAATAGGATGATCAAGGGGGTATGGCTGGTAGCGTAATTTTATAGTTGTTACTTTTCTCAAAATATAAAATTTTTATTTCTATTTAATAATAGTCAATAGATTGATACGAGATAGGGATTCACGAACTACGCTGAATATGTTTGTGGTCAAGAAAAGATGGATAAAAAATAAATTTGCACTTCACCTTTCAATTGCTCATTATAAGATGGTCTGATTAGGATTCGTATAATGGGATAAATTTGTATGTCACCCCTATGTTCACTCAAGAAACAATATATGGCATTATTTATTTACTGCATAAAACGTATGGATACTAGAGATAACAACCTTAAATTTGCAATCATCCCAAATTTTCCTTGACTGCTTTTTAAGTTTAATTATCAAGTCATTTCGATGTTGAATAAACATAAGGTCAAACACGTAATCACCACTGGAGTTTACTATATGTGATTCTATACGAACTCTAACTCTTCCTATATTAATGGTTGAGTAGTGAGTCACAGAAAAGAAAAAAAATCATAGACATTTGATTTGATTTTTTTTTTTTTGTATAATTTTTTTTTTTTCGCCCCTCTTTTCTCTTGATATATTGAAACTTTTAATACATCTAATTATTTATTGTAGAATTTTCCTGCAATGAAATGAAAATTAACAATCATGAAAGTTATGACACTTGAACTTTTGTTTACCCCAACACTTTTTTATTTACTACATAAAATGTGTGGGAACTCGGGTTAATGATCTAAGAAGTGCAAGTAAGAAAACTTTCTCAAACATTTTTTGCATTTAGGTATTCAAGTTATTTTTGTGTTAAGTGAACATAAAACAAAATAGTTTTTTTATCACTAATTAAATAAAATATATTTTCAATTATTTTGTCACATATGATACTATACAACTCTAATATTTTTTGGACTAATAATTGAGTAATAGGTCACAACAAAGGGAGTCAACGATCAAGAGAAAAGAGCGTCATGTACGTTTTTGGATAAATTTGTATGTTCTTCCTTTTTTTTCTTCACATAATAAATATTTTCATATTTATTATATATTTCTATTTTTTTTCCAAGGAGATTTAAATTAAGAATAATGGAGGGTAAGGCACTTAAGTTAAAAAGAAGACTGTCGTATAATTGGCTACCTTTTGATTCGATACAACCACAATAGTCAGCAAAAGGTCAATAATACATGTACGTGTTTTTCCTCTTTTTTTTCTTCTTCGTTTTTCTTCTTTCCTCTGCATTCTTCTTCCTCTTACTTGTTCGTCATGTTGTTTCTGCAATCTTTGCATTCTTAGTGCTCTGCTTCTCGTTATCCACTGGTGATTCTTTTTCCATGCTCATTTTTCTTCATAGCTACAATTAAAATGTTATAATAATTAAATTATTATAATAGAAATCAGGGTAATTGGCGTTCGGGACGGGCCGAATGTCCAAACGCGAATGCCCGAACGTACGTGATCTCGTGGGGATGCGTTCGGTCATTCGGGCCGAACACGAATAAATATATATATATATAGGGTTGTCGGTGTTCGGGACGGGCCGAACGCCCGGACGTTCGGCACCCTCTCTCGATGCGTTCGCCCGTTCGGCTGAACGAGGATTTAAAATATATATATATATATATATATATATATATATATACATATGAAAAATATAAATGTTATGCAGACGAATAAACTAAACAACATTTGCGTCAACGTTATATCCAAATTCTTTACCAAATTTGAAATAAAAATCAAATACTAAAAATAGATAATAATAATAAAAATTAAAAAAAACAAAACGAGAATTAAATTATTGAGTGGGAGAGCACGTTTTCGACACCGCCATCTTTAGCGATTTTTATTTTTTTCTTGGCTGTGAGAAATGCTATGAAAATTTATATATGTGTATCTTACATAATAGAGAATCTACGAATAAAGTTTGAAAAAATAATAAATTGTTGTATGCCCCGAAATAAAGGAAAAACAAAAAGTGAAAAGAGAGAAAAAACAAATTTGTGAGTGGGCAAGCAAGTTTTAACACCACCACCTTTGAGGATTTTTCATTGTTTTTTGGCTGAACAGAATGACTTCAAAATTAAGCTGGAGATTCCTTAAATCACAAAGAACTAACAAAAAAACATTAAAAAAAAAAAAAAAAAACCTTGGGTGCCAAAATAATTTTTTGCGGGGTCCATACCCTTTCAAGTTCGGGCCTCATACGGGGACCCGAACGCCCGAACGTTCGGGGGTCAGCTTAGGGGCCTTCGTACGTTCGACCTGGTAAACCTATATATATATATATATAAACATATGTTATGCATGAAAATAGAATAAATAATATTTGCCTGAGTATTACATAAAAATTCCTTACCAAATTTAAAATAAAAAAATAAACTACAAGAAATAAATACTAATAAAAAAATAAATAAAAATGAAAATAAAAATTAGGGAATTAAAATTATTGAGCGCGAAAGCTTGTTTTCGACATCGCCATCTTTGACGATTGTTTATTTGTTTTTGGCACATTCAAAAACCCTGAAATTTTATATAAAGATAATGAAAAACTCATGAAAAAAGTTTCAAAAAATAATAAAATTATCTAGGCTCCAAAATAAAGTGAAAACAAAAAGTTAAAAGTGAAAAAAAAAAAACTTTGTAAGTGGGCGAGCAATTTCTGACACCTCCATCTTTGGAATTTTTTTATTTTGTTTTGGCTTAGCAAAATGACTTCAAAAGTTTTAGGCATGTACCTAACATCATCGAGAATGCAAAAAAAAATCAGAAAAAAAAATTATTTTTAGGTGTGAAAATCATTTTTGGCGGGGGCCGAACCCCTTCAGGTTCAGACCCCAGGTTTGGCCCCCGAACGCTCAAACGTACGGAGGTCCGCCTAGCGGCCTCCGTACGTACGGGGTCGTAACCCTGATAAAAATGATAATAAGAATAAGAATAAGAATGCGAATGAGAATGATCATTATCATAAAAATAGTAGTTATAAAATAACGATAATGAATGTATACAAGCTATGTTTCCGATCCGGTACAGTCAAGATCAGTGCGTTATGTTTCGGGGGTCGGCGATCAGTGTTGCACTGCCAAGGTGAGTACTCTCTCTCTTTTCTGTCTTTCTTTCTCTCTTTTGTGCTAGTTGTTTTATCCCCGCGTGCGTATTTTCCGTCTTTATGCTCACTTCTCCATTTCCCCAATCGCCAGCTTGTGCGTCCGTCGTGCCTCTCTTTCACACATTTCCTTGCCCTCTTTTGCTAAGCATTCGTCTTTTGTATCTCCAAAACCTCCTCTCTGGCTACATGCTTTATTTTCCTTCACACGCGTTTCTGTTCTTTATCCACCCGCACAATCTTCTTAATCTACACACGTCCCTCTTCCCCTTCCACACGCCTGGCCCCCACGCATTGCCCATACATCTCTCTCTCACTCCCTTCTACTTTTTTCCGTCTACTACTATTACTATTAATTATATATCTCACATATCCGCTTTCTCTTTCCTGTGTCGTTACCTGTGCCCAATCGCAGTCAGGTATCATCATAAATTGATTAGTATTTGAAAG